GCTGGAGGGTTAATCATTCGGCATCCAATTTCAATGTATGGATTCCCCTGTCACAGAATCCCTTGACACCAGCTGGGGGTGGGGTGGGGGGAGGGTCCTACAATTGAACTCAATTCTGACACTGTCTGCCTGGAGATAGTGTCAGATTCCATGGGTTAAGGGCTCAGTCCCATTAAGGTGGCACTAGTGGGAAAGAACCTGCCTGCCAATGCAGGAGACATAAGAGACACGGGTTCGACTCCTGGGTTGGGAAGATCCCCTAGAGGACGGCACGGCAACCCACCCCAGGATTCTTGCCTGGAGAATGCCATGGACAGAGGAGCCCGGCAGGCTGCAATATCTATAGCGTCACAAAATGTCGGACACGACTGAAGTGACCCAGCACACACGCATGCACCAGTAAGACAACCCCACCCTGGCCCTTGCGTCAGACACCAGTGGGAAGTTTGGCCAATTGGATATAGACCGGAGGTTCCCATCACCCCCTCCTCGAGTTTAATCAATTTGCTAGAGGGGCTCACAAAATCCAGAGAAAACTTTTACTTACTAGATGACCAGTTCATTCTAACTCAGGACCAGCCAGATGGAAGTGATGCATAGGGTAAGGGTATGGGAAAGTGTGTGAAGTTTCCATGCCCTCCCTGGGCCTCCCATTCCCCCTAAATCTCCATGTGTTCAGCAGCCTGAAGCTCTCTGAACCCTGTCCTTTGGATTTTTATGGGGGCTTCATTATCTAGGCATAGTTGATTAAATCACTAGCCATTGGCGATTGATTCAACTTCCAGCCCCACTGTCCCCCTTGGAGGTCGAGTGGGTGGGACTGAAAGTTCCAGTCCTCTCATCAGAAGATGGGTTCTCCTGCCAACCATTCCCTATCCTTCAAGTGAAAGGGAGAGTCGCTCAGTCTTGTCTGCCTCTTTGCAACCCCATGGACTATACAGTCCACGGAATTCTCCAGTCCAGAATACTGGAGTGGGTAGCCATTTGCTTCTCCAGGGGATCTTCCCCTAGCCCAGGGATCGAGCCCAGGCCTCCCACACGGCAGGCAGATTCTTTACCTGTTGAGCCACTGGGGAAGCCCTCCCCATCCTTAGGTGTGGACCAAAAATCATCTCATTAATACAACAACAAAAGACATCTTTGTCACTCTCATTGCTTAGGGAATTCCAAGGATTTCAGGCTTCTCCACTTGGGTGAAGACCAACACACGTCTTATTATAAATCACAATCTCCTAGGGATTAGGAGGCGGGCCAGAAGGAGGGAGACTTCGGTGGATCTGTGCACTCCCAGGCCCCACTGCCTGTCCCGCACCTCCCCACCCACCAAACTTGTTCCCCAGATTTCCACTCAGCGCAAAGACAACATCTACAACATCCTCCAGGAGGTCACCCAGCAGGAGGAGGAGCGCTCCGTCTAGAGGCTGGTGGCCATCGCCTCCAGGGAGATGACCGGCATGCTGGAGGCCGCGGGGGTCCTGCCCTGCCCGCCTGCCACTGCCCCAGGGGCTGGGCTCTGGGGGGCCACTGGGATGCCCGAGGCCTCCGTCCGCTAAGCTCATGGGGACAACAGTAGGCTGAGGGGGCCCAGGAGAGCCCAGCGGAGCCGGAGCAGGCGAGGAGCAGGCACTGCTGGGGCGGCCACGTGTCCTCCTCCCATGCCCTGCAGATGGACGGCTACGTGAGGGCAGAGGTGGCCAGCGACACCCTGGTGGCCCTGTCCCGAAACCACTTCAGCTTGGTCATGTACGAGCTGCAGCACCATCTCAAACCCCTCAACCTCACGGAAGAATCTGTCATCGTCACCCTGGCCAAGCTGGCCAACGGCAACGGTAGGGCTCGAGGGGACTGGGCCCCAGCGTCTGCCCGCCGGGCCACCCCTCCGCCTCTGCCCTGGTGCCCGCGCCCGCCCGCTCCCGTGTCTCCCTCTTCCGGCCTTCCTCCGGCCTTCCTCCGTCTCACTTCCGGTGTCTCTCCGGCCCTCTCGGCTGCTGAGATCCCCTCCCTGTGCCCCCCATCCTGCGTCTTTTCTCCTGCCGGCCCTTCTCTGGCACGCCTGTCTTTCCTGCTCCCTCTCTGGCCCCGGTCTCTCCCTCGCTCCCTCCCTCCTTCCCTTCTGAGCCCGCTCCACGCTCCGCGCTCCACGCAGGCCTTGCGGCGGGCAGTGGCCGCGGGTCAGGAGCCCCTGGGAACCGGTACACGAGAAAACGGAGTGTCCCCATGGAGAGGGCGCGCGGCTGTCCCCTGCGTCCCCGCCGCCTCACCCACGGTCTCTGGTCGTCAGGCTAGAGTGCTTATGAGGCAACAAGGGAGTGGCGGCCTGGGAGGGCGGCCCACGCCCCGCCTCCTCACTCTGCTCCCTGCGGGCCCAGGAAGAGCAGGGCTCTTCCCTCTGTTCCTCCGTCCCTCCGCTCCTCCTCCCCTCTCCCGGTCTCCCGGTCTCCCCTCTTCTCCCCTCCCCCTCCCCGCTCCTCTTCTCCCCCCTCCCCTCCTTCCCCTCCCCCCTCCTTCCCCTCCCCCCTTCCCCTCCCCCGTCCCCTCCCCAACCCCTGTCCCCCTCCCTCCATTCCCCCGTCCCCTCCCCACCCCTGCCCCCTCCCCCCTGCCTCCTCCCCACCCCCTGTCCCCCTCCCCCATTCCTTTCCTCCCTCCTCCCTTCCCCCCTTCCCCCGTCCCTTCCGCCTCACCCGGTCTCCTCTCCTGTCACCCCATCTCCCCTTCCCTCGTCTCCCCTCCCCTCATCTCCTTCTCTGTCCTGGGAGACAGAGGGGAGAGGACAGTAAATGGAAATGAGGAAAGGAGAGAGGGGGAGAGGGGAAGGGTGGGGGAGGGAAGGGGAGAGGAGGGACGGGTGGAGACGGGGGAGAGGGATAGAGACTGGGGGAGGTCTCCCCGCCCCTCCCCCATCTCCTTTCCCCTCCCCCGTCTCCCCTCCCATTCCCTCTCCCCTCTCCCTCCCCTCTCCCTCGCACCCCCGTCTCCCCTCCCCTCTCCTCTCCCCCTGTCTCCCTTCCCTCTCCCTGTGGGGCAGGGTTGATGGGGAGAGAGGACGGGAGGTGGGGGGAGGGGAGGGGAGACAGGGGAAGGGGGGAGGGGAGACAGGAGGGGGAGGGACGGGGAGGGGAGACAGGAGCTGGGGGGGACGGGGAGGGGAGACGGGGAGTCAGGAGGGGAGATGGGGAGAGAGTTAGATACAGGGGGCGGTGAAGTCTCCTCTCCCCTCCCACCCTTTTCCATCCCCTCCCCCATCTCCCCTCTCCCCCCAGGTCTTCCTCCCCTATCCCCGTCTCCCCTCCCCTCTTCCCCCACCCATCTCCCCTCCCCTCCCCTGGTTACCCTCCCCCTGTCTCCTCTCCCCTCCCCATCTCCCCTCCCAGGGAGAAGGGAGGGGAGATGGGGAGGGGAGATGGGAGGGGAGAGGAGACATAGGGGAAGGGGAGGGGAGATGGGGGGAGGGGAAATGGGGGAATGGTGGGAGACCAGTCTCCCCACCCCTCCCCCTCCCCCATCTCCCCTTGACTTTTCTCCCCTTCCCTCCTCTGTTCTGTCATCTCCTTCTGAGTCGGGGTAGACACAGGAGAGAGGAGATGGAGGTGGGGATAGGGGAGGGGAGAGGAGGTGGGGAGAGGGGAGGGGAGAGGAGGTGGGGAGAGGGGAGTTGGGGAGAGGGGAGAGGAGCTGGGAAGAGGGCAGGGGAGGCGGGGAGGGAGAGAAGGGTAGACATCTCCCTCTCTACCCTTCTTTCCCGTCCCTCTTCTGCCCTCCCATTCCCCCTCCCCTCCCCCTTTCCCCTTCCCCATTCTCTCCACCCCTCCTCCCCTTCCTTCTTGTCCTCATCTCTCTTCCCCTCCTCCCCTTCTCCCCTCCCACTTGCCCCCTCCTATACTGCTTTCCCCTTCCCCCTCCCCCCTTTCTCCCTCCCCTTCCATCCCCCCTTACCCCTCCCATCCCCCCATTATCCCTCCCCTTCCCCCCTCTCCCCTCCAATCCCCTTCCCCTTCTCGCCTCCCCATGTCCCCTCCCCCGTCTCCCCTCCCCTTCTCCCCTCCCCCTCCTCCCCTCCCACTTCTCCTCCCCTCCCCCATCTCCCCTCTCCTGCACCCCCACGTCACCCCCCCCCCCACATCTCCCCTCCCCTGCACCTGATTCCACCCCTGCCTCCTACCTTCTCCTGTGGCCCAGCCCATGCAAAGGGGTTCCCTGGCCCTGTTCTGGGCACTGGAGGTGTGGGCGATGGTGTTGCCATCTCTGATGAGCCTCCTCTTCTGACGCCCTGAGACCTCTGCCCACACCTCGCAGTGTTTGAGTTCATGCCACACATGGGCATCACCCTGGCCACCATTTCACCATGCTGACGCTCGCCAATGAAGCCGAGATGTGCCAGGTGACCTATGGTGGAGAGTGTCCCGCCTGGGCCTGCAGGTCTGGCCTGATCAGGGTGCTGACAGGAGGAGGTGGGTGTACAGCTAGAGACAAAAGGGCAGTGGGGATTGCAGGAGAGGGTGACCAGGGAAACGGTCCCAGCTCGGGCTTGACTTGGGTCATTTTTATCTGATCCCCTTGCCCCAGGTTTTGATTATGTCATGATTTTGTGGGCCCAAGTCCCAAATTCCTGAGAAAAGTAGGACAGAAGGTGCTGGCCACTCTTTGCTTTGGAGTCCCCAGGATCTGAGTTAGAAAGTCTTCTTGGAGGTCTCACCCTTGACCTTGCAACATGAACCTCAAGGCCGGGGGCCCAGTCACACCTGTGTGCTCCACCCCCCGGGGGAGTCTTTCACCCTCAGACAGGGAGGGGCTTCATGCAAGACCAAACTTAAGGAGCTGAGAGGGGGGTTGGAAAGGCAGATGGCGAGGGCTGCAGGAGATTTTTCCAGCAGCATCTCTGGCCATCTCAGTAACCCACTGGTTATGGAAGTGTGAGGGCTCCTCCTGAGAAGGCGCCCCGGAAGGCTCTGTTGTGCGTCCTGGCCCTCGGGGCTCACTGCACGTGCCCCGGGGCAGCCATGGAGACCTTCTGCGAGACGGTGCAGTTTTACCTGAGGCACCTGGAGGACAGCGTGTACCCCGTGATGACTGAGGACCAGTTTGCACTGAAGCTGTTCCCCATGTATCGCTACTTCCTGACGGTGTGGCTGCGGAACAACACCCCGGAGGTGAGACGGGCCCTCCCGGGTGGGGGTGGGAGCCCGTGGTCCTCGGGTCATCGCTCTCCAGCCTGTGCAGCCGGCCGGACTGAGACACCACTGGGTCCAAGGAGGTGGAGACCTGATCGGCAGAGCCAGGGGGGCCCTGCAGGTGTCTTGATGAAGGCCACTGGAGTTGCTGGACCAGGGTCCCTGTTCCACGTGTGCCGGGCACTCTCCGAGCGGTGCACTTGTGGGAGCCATTTCCACGCCACCTCCGGGTCATAGGACCGTTTTCCAAATGAGGAAACAGAGACACAGAGAGGTTGAGCACCTGTCCAAGGTCTCCTGAGTGAGAGTCAGGACTTGGGGGCAGGCTTGGCAGCTGGGGGACCCGGGGGAGGCCTGGACCCTACTCCAAGGTCCCCTCAGTCACCTGTCCTTGATTCCGAGGCTGGGGCTGATGTCACAGGACCTTCCTGGTGGTCCTGGCCGAGGGGTCTAGAGACCAGGCTCCTGTGCTAGGTGAAGCTGGGGGTCATCAAGTCCCTGAAGCCCATGCTGAACCTCCTCCTGCCCAGGGATGCCCTGCGGGACCAAGTGTACGACTCCCTCCCTCTGCTGCTGGCGGGGTACCAGGGCAGCCTGGAGGCACTCTTTATCACGCGGGTGAGGGGCCTGGGCTGGGGGCTCAGGGTATTTAGGGCTCCTCAGTGTCCCGTGGGGTGTTCTCATGGGTGGGAGATGTAGCCACGGGACCTGGCACTTGTCCGATTTCCAAGAAATATATGCTGCCGTGACACATGTGTTAGCCACTCAGTCATGTCCGACTCTTTGCGACCCCGTGGACTGTATCCCGCCAGGATTCTCGGTCCATGGGATTTCCCAGGCAAGAATACTGGAGTGGGTTGCCTGTTCCTTCTCCAGGGGATCGTCCTGGCCCAGATATCAAAGCCGGGTCTCCCATTATTGTCTGAGCCCCCAGGGAAGCCATGCAGAAAGGATGATGCCTCAGAGGGCTCTGGGCCCACAGTGAGGCCACAGCTCTCATAGCGGTTTCCTAAGGCTGTCGCAGCAAAGAGCCAGGAGGCAGGTGGCTTAAAGCCACAGAGATGTGGCTGTCATGGTTCTGGAGGCCGGCAGTCTGAAATCTCGGTGTCAGCAGGCTAAGCTCCTTCTGTAGGCTCTAGGGGAGAACCTTGCCTCTTCCAGCTTCTAGTGGCCCAGGCACTGCGTCACTCCAGCACCCCGTCTGTGGTCACATGGCCATCTCTGTGTCTCTCTCTGTCTTCTCTTCTCGTAAGGACACTGATCCTTGGATGTAAGGCGTTGTCAGGGTGATCTCATCTTTTTTTTTTTTTTTCAGTTTTTATTTAAAAAAATTTTTTGTTTGTTTCATTTATTTTTATTAGTTGGAGGCTGATTACTTTACAGTATTGAAGTGGGTCTTGTCATACATTGACATGAATCAGCAATGGAGTTACATGTATTCCCCATCCCAATCCCCCCTCCACCTCCCTCTCCACCCGATTCCTCTGGGACTTCCCAGTGCACCAGGCCCGAGCACTTGTCTCATGCATCCAGCCTGGTCTGGTGATCTGTTTCACTATCGATAATATACATGTTTTGATGCTGTTCTGTTGAAACATCCCACCCTCACCTTCTCCCACAGAGTCCAGAAGTCTGTTCTGTACATCTGTGTCTCTTTTTCTGTTTTGCATATAGGGTTATCATTATCATCTTTCTAAATTCCATATATATGTGTTAATATGCTGTAAAGGTCTTTATCTTTCTGGCTTACTTCACTCTGTATAATGGGCTCCAGTGTCATCCATCTCATTAGAACTGATGCAAATGAATTCTTTTTAATGGCTGAGTAATATTCCATGGTGTATATGTACCACAGCTTCCTTATCCATTCGTCTGCTGATGGGCATCTAGGTGGCTTCCATGTCCTGGCTATTATAAACACTGCTGCGATGAACATTGGGGTGCACGTGTGTCTTTCAGATATGGTTTCCTTGGTGTGTATGCCCAGAAGTGGTATTGCTGGGTCATATGGCAGTTCTATTTCCAGTTTTTTAAGAAATCTCCACACTGTTCTCCATAGTGGCTGTACTAGTTTGCATTCCCACCAACAGTGTAAGAGGGTTCCCTTTTCTCCACACCCTCTCCAGCATTTATTGCTTGTAGACTTTTGGATAGCAGCCATCCTGACTGGCGTGTAATGGTACCTCATTGTGGTTTTGACTTGTTCTTGAGAGCCTTAAGTAATTAGGTCTGCAAACACCCTATTTCCAAGTGAGCTCACATTCTGAGGTTGTGGGTGGACATGGATTCTGGTGGCGGGGGACACCATTCAACCTCTTACCAGCCTTGGACGTGTGTGAGATGGAGTCTTTGCAAGATTCTGAGCCAAGCTGTGACCTGGGCTGCTGTATATTGTGAAGGGGGTCACTCATTTACAGATGAGGCGAGGCCCTTCTCCTGGTGAGAGCTGGGAACAGAAAAAATCATGCAGCATTTGGGGAGCCACGTGCAGACCTTCTGTCTAAAGTTGGGATGCACTTCTAGGTGGCTAGGGGAGAAAGGGGAAGAAGGCCTTGAACACCACACTCGGAAGCCCTAGTGCAGACATGCCAAGCTGTAGTGTCCACCGCAATGCTCAGAGGCGGCTGGAAATACAGTGGGACTAGGGAGTCTGGGCAGGGCTTGAGAGGTGGCCTCTCTGCCCAGCTCCCAGGGGATACTGATACATCCAGAGGGGGAACGTCAAGGGGCAAAGGTCTGGCGTTTGACCTGAGTAGGTCGAAGGTCACCTGCCACCCTTTCCCACCTGCTGCAGGTCTTGAGGCAGATCCTGGAGATGTCATTCATCACCAGTAGCCCAGTCCCGCAGATGCAGCTGCACATCATCTTCACGGAGCTGCATGTCCAGGAGAGCCCCAGGGCTGCGCGGGGCGTGGCCTTCCCCAGGGCGGGTCAGGGGACAGAGGCTGGGGGCGGGTAGGGGAGGCGCGCTGAGGCCCTGTGGTGTGCGGACCAGCGCAACCGGTGGCAGGGTGGCGGTGGGGCCCCGTCTGATGCCCGAGGCCTCCGGCCTCCTGCCGGGGGCGAGGCACAGGTGGGGCTCCTGCCCGTGTGCCCCGCCGCGGGGCTGACCTCTCCACCCCCCTGCCCGCCCCTCCCCAGGTGTGCTCCAGGGCCCCCGCCCAGCAGCGGTTCAGCAGCCAGAACCTGGCGGAGATAGTGCACAGCTTCATAGCCCCTGGTAAGGCGCCCCGGGAACCCTCGGGAGTGCTGGCCCCCTCTGAGCGCCGGGCGCCGGGGCTGCCTTGTCCCGCTGCCGCCCTTGACTCAGGGCACGACTGAAGCTGTCCTTCCCCCTCACCCTCTGCAGCCCGCTCCTACCCCAAGGAGCTGATGCAGTTCTTCCTCAGTCAGATGGAGATGAGCAAGGAGGCCATCCGCGTGGGGACCCTGGCCCTGATCGGGGCAGTGGTGAGCCCAGATGGTGAGCACTCACCCCGCAGGGAGACCGGGCGGGAGCAAGGGTGGCAGGTGTCAGTCATATCTGGCCTTTTTTTCCCCTTAACTGTTTGGCCGCACCCTGCGGCGGCATGTGGGACCTGAGTGCCCTGACCGGGGATCGAAGCCATGCTCCCCGCGATCGAAGCACGGAGTCTTAGCCCCTGGACTGCCATGGAAGTCCCTGGACCATTTCCTCTCTGTAGACTCTGCTGGGTGGGCCGCGGAGTCAGGGCTCTCCTTGGCTCCATTTCCTGTTCTTGAACCTAACCAGCCTTGTGTCCCACCCTCCACAGCCTCGCCCCTGTCCTTCAGCCCTGATCCCAGCTTCTGCCTGAGCCTGAATTTCAAACCACAAATCCTAGTATAACTCGCAAAGCTAGCTGGAAGCCTGCCTATAAAGCCTAGATACACAGTATAGATGTGCCCTAAAGCCCCGTTGACCTAGTGCCTAAGCTTAGTCTGAAACCCTGCTTCCGAATCCCCTCAGCCCAGACCCTAAGCCTGGCCTAGCGATCCCCAGGGACAGGCTGTTCCCCAGAGCTCCAGCTCAGAGAGCTTCCGCTTGAATGTGAAAGAGGCGCCCTCTGCTCGCAGCAGTTGGTCTTGCAGGGATGGAGAAGCACACATGCTGTGCGCAGGCGCTGCAGTCACGCCCATTGTTTCCCAGCAAGCCGGGCTCCTCTGTCCATGGGGTTCTCCAGGCAAGAATACTGCAGTGGGTTGCCATTTCCTCCTCCAGGGGGTCTTCCTGACTCACGGATCCAATTCACATCTCTCATGTCTCCTGCATTGGCAGGAGCGTTCTGTTTCACTAGCGCCACCTGGGAAGCCCTGAGAAGTGCTTGGTTGGCATCAGTCCAGCCCTTCAGCTACTTATCCTTGTGCAGTACACACGCTGAGCAACTGTATGTGAGAGACATTCTCCTGACAGTAAACCCATCTTTTACAGAAATGCAAATTGAAGCAACAGAGAAGGTGAAACTTTATCAGTCATGTCTCACTGTTTCAGTTCAGTTCAGTCGCTCAGTCATGTCCAACTCTTTGTGACCCCATGAACCGTGGCTAACCAGGCCTCCCTGTTCATCACCACTTCCTACAGTCCACCCAAACCCATGTCTGTCGAGTCAGTGATGCCATCCAACCATCTCATCCTCTGTTGCCCGCTTCTCCTTCTGCCCTCAATCATTCCCAGCATCAGGGCCTTTTCAAATGAGTCAGCTCCTTGCATCAGGTGACCAGAGTATTGGATTTTCAACTTCAGCATCAGTCCTTCCAATGAACACCCCAGACTGATCTCCCTTAGGATGGACTGATTGGATCTCCTTGCAGTCAAGGGACGCTCAAGGGTCTTCGCCAACACCACAGTTCAAAAGCATCAATTCTTGGTGCTCAGCTTTCTTCACAGTCCAACTCTTACATCCATATGTGACCACTGGAAAAACCATAGCCTTGACTAGACAGAGCATTGTTGACAAAGTAATGTCTCTGCTTTTCAATATGCTATCTAGGTTGGTCATAAAATTCCTTCCAAGGAGTGAGCGTCTTTTAATTTCATGGCTGCAGTACCGTCTACATCGATTTTGGAGCCCAGAAAAATGAAGTCAGCCACGGTTTGCACTGTTTCCCCGTCTATTTCCCATGAAGTGATGGGACCAGATGCCATGATCTTAGTTTTCTGAATGTTGAGCTTTAAGCCAACTTTCTCACTCTGCTCTTTCAGTTTCATCAAGAGGCTCTTTAGTTCTTCTTCACTTTCTGCCAGAAGGGTGGTGTCATCTGCATCTCTGAGGTTGTTGATATTTCTCCTGGCAACCTAGATTCCAGCTTGTGCTTCCTCCAGCCCAGCATTTCTCATGATGTACTCTGCATATAAGTTAAATAAGGAGGGTGACAATATACAGCCTTGACGTACTCCTTTTCCTATCTGGAACCCGTCTGTTGTTCCATGTCCAGTTCTAACTGTTGCTTCCTGACCTGCATACAGGTTTCTCAAGAGGTAGGTCAGGTGGTCTGGAATTCCCATCTCTTTGAAAATTTTCCAGAGGTGGTTGTGATCCACACAGTCAAAGGCTTTGGCATAGTCAATAAATCAGAAATAGATGTTTTTCTGGAACTCTCTTGCTTTTTCGATGATCCAGCGGATGTTGACAATTTGATCTCTGGTTCCTCTGCCTTTTCTAAAACCAGCTTGAACATCTAGCTCACAGTTCACATATTGCTGAAGCCTGGCTTGGAGAATTTTGAGCATTACTTTACTAACATATGAGATGAGTGCAATTTTGCGGTCGTTTGAGCACTCTTTGGCATTGCCTTTCTTTGGGACTGGAATGAAAACACCTTTTCCAGTCCTGTGGCCACTGCTCAGTTTTCCAAGTTGACAGATATTGAGTGCAGCACTTTCACAGCAGCATCTTTTAGGATTTGAAATAGGACAACTGGAATTCCATCACGTCCACCTCCATGATCTCTGTGATGTGAAAGAAATCTAGGTGCTCATTTATGCACAAATGAGTTGAGAAGGATACACCTAAACCATGAAGGCTGGTTGTCTTTTATTTTAATTTCTCAGTGAACATAGACTATTTTTATAATCAGAAAAAAGGTTTCCATTTTAGAGATGAAAAGCTCTTAAGTGTAACATCGTCCCTTTGTGCCTGAATTCCCGCATCTTCCACCAGGATCTGATTTCCTGTTGTTCTTCCTCCTGCAGTGACGTCTAGTAGCACCTAGACTTGAGTGTAGCAAGGGCCTGAGTTGCCTGACTGTGGTTCTGTCCACGCCGACCTCTCGAGAGCCTTCTCTGCGCCCTTCCTTACCTCCCTGATCTTCCTCCTCACCCTCCCTCCAGCACACACTCACACTCTTGCACACCAGGCCCCATGTGTCTCAGCTGGTGTCACTGCTCACAGAGGCTGGGGAGGGACCCGCTCTCAGTGTCCGCCTGTCACGGGGAGGAAGCTGAGGCTCAGAGGGCCTGAGTAAGTCCCGCGCGGTCACACAGTGGGATGCGGTGGAGCCAGAGACAGCGCAGCAGCCTGGCCCCGGAGCCCCGGCCTCCGCAGCCGGGCGGGGTGGTCTGCGTGTGTCCGCTGTGTGTCTGGCCCTGTGTGTCCCGCTGAGGGGACCCCCGAGCTCTCAGGAGGAGACCCTGCCCTCAGGGAGAGTCCCCTAGTTTCCAAAGAGACACACGCGGAGCAGAGGCCGAGGGAGTGAGGCCTAGAGACGACCCCCTGGGCTGGGGCGGGTGGGCACTGAGAGCGCCGGGTGACTTCTGAGGGCAGCGGCCCTGAGCTTGTGGGGGTGAGTCAGAGGTTCTCAGGAGTCACGGCACGGACGGGTCCTGAACCTCTGTCTCCCGTGGAAGGTGGCAGAGGGGCCTCGCCACTTCTGGGCATCTCCTCAGAGCCCAGCCCTGAGGCCAGTGGACCTCCAGGCGGGCTTTCCTCTTTCAGAGCCCAGAATGAGCATCAGGATCATCTCCCTGGCCATCCGAGTGGTCAAGAACACACTCTCTGACACCCGGTCCAAGGTAACAGGGTGGGGAGACCCAGAAAGGGGGAGTGTGCTGGGCTATGCCGGGCAAGTGGAGGGAAGTCAGGTGCCTTCTTCCATCAGCCGCAGCCTGCTTGCCACCCCTCCCCTCCAGCTCTGTGCGTGGAGGCGAGGCTGCCTTCTCAAGGAAGGCCCTTTGATGGAAAACCTACCTTTCCAGCCAGTCCTGCGTGGGGCTGGAGAAGAATAAGACTCCTCGAAGCTGTGGCCCCTCTCCTGAGACCCTCCCTGTCACCAAGCACCTGGAGTTTTGCTCTGATTGGGCTCTGACACTACCCTGGAGAGAGGAGAGGCCAAACACACCCAGCGTCAGCCCAAGCTGCTTGGTTAGCTAGGTGTTTGTAAGGTCATTACCACATTTGAGAAAAGCAACTCTGCAAATAAAGGCTAAAACCCACCATCTTGGCCACTGCAGCCTCAGCCCCCTGGAAAATAGCTTGGCTTCCGGACACGGCCCCTGTGGCTGACTCCTCATGTCCTGAGGGTGCACTTCAGGATGGTGATGGTCTGCACAAACCAGGAAGGGAACAGGGTGCTCGGTCTTGAGCCTGAGGCAGGGCTGTCTTCAGTCCCTGGAGGATGCCAGGGGCAGAGGGAATAGGCTTGTTCTGTGTCGTCCCCACATGTAAGCCCTGGGGAGCCCAAGAGAAGAGGCAGGTGGTTCTCACCAGGGCCGCCTGAGGATGGAGCAGCCCTACCGAGAAAGCAGTGTGCTCATGTCTCTGAAGGGCGCAGATGAGGCACCTGGGTAGAGCTGCTGCTGAACAGGATCCCCTGGATGAGGCAGGCAGTGGTGGACAGAGTGGGCAGCATCCAGGTAGCCCCAGAGACCCCTTCCAGACCACAGCACCCTCAAATCTTAGCTGTCTCATGTCATGGGATTGGGTGCCAGCGGAACCTCTAGCGCCCAGCATGTCTGTGCTCTGGCCTCTCAGGTGAGGATGGCCATGCTCCGCATCATCGGGCAGCTGGCCCTGTCCGGATTCCAGGACAGGATCAAAGGCTGGGGCCTGAAGGTCGTGTCTGTGCAGCTGACCTTGTCCACCTACAAACTGGTGAGTGACGGCGGAGTGGCTGGGCTTTAGAAATGGTTCCCACTGCGCTGAGGAAAGAGCACTGCTCAATGAACCTGCATGCATGTACAAGCGCACACACACACACAGTAAGCTGCCAGGGGTCTAGAAAATAGTGAAACACGTGCACAGCTCTGGGCTTCCGGGAGACTCAGTATCTGGGTGCAAGCCTCCTGCGGGAAAGTAAACCACAGGTGAGACCATGGCAAGCCCTTGCCAGCCCACAAGCAGGCACTCCTTGGTTCTGTCTTCCAGACCAACCACAGGGACAGATTTCATCAGAGGGGCCTAGAGGAGAAGATGGTCCACAAGGTCCCCATGGACACCGTAAGGATCATAGCCTCTTCTGTCAGTGGGATGAGCAATGTGAGTTGGCCCACTGGGGCTGATGGCTCATGTCTGTGCTGTGCGAGGCTGTGCGGGGAGGATAGCACAGGCCCAGAATTCTGCACTGTTGCTTCTCCCATTCCCACTACCTGGGAGGATGGGCGGCCCCAGATCTTTCAATTGCCTGAGCTCGTTTCTCAAGATTCACTTCCTTGGTGGGACCTTATTACCTTCAGCAGGGCAGTGCTTGGCGCACAGTAGGCCTAATACCTATCACTTGACTTATTGCTTGAAATGCATCCATCACCTTAAAGCCCCTCAGTCCAGGGGTGTGTGTGTGCCCGCGTGCACATGTATTCAGTCACTCAGTTATGTCCAATTCATTGTGGCCCCATGGACTGTAGCCCACCAGGCTCCTCTGCCCATAGAATTTTCCAGGCAAGAATACTGGAGTGGAGTGCCATTTCCTCCTCCAGAAGATCGTCCAGACCCAAGGACCAAACCTGTCTTCTGCTTTGGCAGGCAGATTCTCACCACTAGAGACACTTGGGGAGCCCATGCATATGCATGCATGTGTGTATATGTGTGCGTGTGCAAATAAGTGACTTTAGGGATTATATTTCACAAACACGAGTTCCAACTCTGTGTGAGGCATCCGGGCATACACAGGAAGGCTCAGTGTGACCCCAAGCTGTTCACAGGCTTTAGGGGAACAAATGTGTCAGTTTTTAATTGCATTGCAATGTGACATAGCAGTAAGATAGGGAAAGTTTACCGTGACTGCACATGGAGGAACCATTGTCTGTTAATTGAGGCCATGGGCCAGATGCTCCCCATCCAGTGGCAGCTTCTCTTAATTACAAAAATAACAGTTACAGTAATAATAATAATAGTGGTTACAATTCATTGAGTACACGTGGCAGGCACTGTACTAGATGTGTAGTATCTAGAATCTTATTGAATTATCCCAAGCACCCTGTGAGGTAAGGTCTGTTGTTATTATTACCAAGCTTTTATCAATGAGGAAACTGAGGCTCAGAGGGACTCATTAATTTCCTCAAGGATTCTAAGCTGGTAAAAAGTGGAGCCAGGATAAAAATGGTCTTTCCTGTTCATTCTGCTACGTCCCTGGAAACCCAGCAGCCAGGGATTCTGGTCCCGATGGCTGTAGCACACGAAGCACACCCCCTTGTCAGTAGCACAGGAGCTCCCCCCAGACTCCTCGGGGTGGGAGGGGGGCTAAGAGGAGTCAGGGCTGCTGGGGGCGTTCAGTGATCACCTGGCGAGACAGGAGACGGCAGGGGCAAGTTGAAAGGCTAGAGTCATGGCTCGAAGAATCTGTAGAGAAATAGAACAAGTCGGAGATGTGTGTGTGTGTGTTTCTCAAAAATATCAATAAACTCAGATATGCAAATGACACCACCCTTATGGCAGAAATCAAAGAGAAACTAAAGAGCCTCTTGATGAAGGTGCAAGAAGAGAGTGAAAAGGCTGACTTAAAACTGAACATTTAGACAATGAAGATCATGGCATCCAGTCCCATCACTTCACAGCAAGTAGATGGGGAAACAATGGACACAGTGACAGACTTTATTTTCTTGGGCTCCAAAATCTTTACAGATGGTGACTGCAGCCATGAAATTAGAAGATTCTTGCTCTTTGGGAGAAAAGCTATTACAGACCTACACAGCCTATTAAAAAGCTGAGACATAACTTTGCAGACAAAATCTGTATAGTGAAAGCTATGGTTTTTCCAGGAGTCATGTACAGATGAGATAGTTGGAGCATAAACAAGTCTGAGGGCCAAAGAACTGATGCTTTAGAATTGTGGTGTTGGAGAAGACTCTTGAGAGTGCCTTGGACAGCAAGAAGCTCAAACCAGTCAATACAAAAGGAAATCAGCTCTGAATAATCATCGGAAGGACTGATGCTGAAGCTGAAGCTCCAATAGTGTGGCCACCTGATGGGAAGAGCTGACTCACTGGAAAAGACCCTGGTGCTGGGAAAGATTGAAGGCAGGAGGAGAAGGGAACAACAGAGGATGAGATGATTGGATGGCATCACCGACTCTATAGACATGAGTTTGAGCAAACTCCGGGAGATGGTGAAGGACAGGAAGGCCTGGCGTGCTGCAATCCATGGGATCGCAAAGAGTCGGACATGACTGAGCAACTGAACAACAACATATGTATTGTGCAACTGTGAGCTGGCAAGTCTGAAGTTTAGGAGGTAGGCTGGCAGGCTGAAAACTCAGGCAGTAGCTGAGGCTGCAACCTTGAGGCAAACTCTCTTCTTCCTCAGGGAAACCTGTTTTTTGCCCTCAACTGATTTGATCAAGTCCACTCACATTTTCCAGAGTAACCTCTTATATGGATTATGGACTTTCATCAGATCAAAATAGCTTCACTGCCATGCCTAGATTAGTGTTTGATTGAATAACTGTGTGCATTCACTAGCCAAGTTGACACATAGAAACTAATCATCACAGTTGGCAAGCATGGCTAGGTTGTCTGCCCAGTGTGCCTCTCTAGGGGATTGGGGGTTAGAGGGAGGGCTGGTCAAAGAGGATGTGCTGGCTGCGGGGTTGGAGTGAGGCAGGGGGCACAGAGGTCAAGGGCCCAGGACTAGCTGACCCCCTCGGCCACGGGGTGGGTGCAGCCTAGACGGCCTTGGCCGAGACCCAGGCTGGGCAGTGGAGCCAGCGGGCCTGAGGCGGTCAGTCAGTGGGTCAGAGAAGCGAGGCTGAGACAAGGCTGTCGGGGTGGGGAGGGACTGACGATCTCATCGCAGGACTGTGCGATGCCCAGGCTGGCTGACCCCAGCACCCCCACCTCACCCCCATCGCCCCCCACAGGAATTTTGGGTGAGGCTCCCGTGCTATATCATGGAGACGGACTACACGGAGGCCTTGACCCCCATCTGCGGCAGCCTCACCAACCTGGCTGAGCGCCAGCTGCACGCCAAGGACGAGCAGGCCAGCACAAGCAAGAACAGGCACGGTGGGTAACCCCCTGCGCCAGCTGGAGGGACTGGGCAGGTGGGCCGCCCCGTGCCTCGGACCGTTCCCCCTTCTCCAGGAAGCAGCCTGGAGCCCAGTGAGCCAGGCCTTCCCAAAGAGGCCGCCCTTGCCGAAAGCCGAGGAGGTTAAAGTTGTGCAGGCTTCCTCTGGCAGCCCACTCCTCTCATCCCCACTTCCCACCCACCCTGGCCCAGACCCCAGGGCAGGGGTCCTGGCTCAGGCTTCCCACACGTGTGAGCTCTCTGGCCCCCGTGAGCCCACTGGAAGGACTGTATATCCTATCTGAGGCCTCTGGAACCACCCCCACCAGGCCCTCTGACTCACCGTGATGACCCACTTGTTAGCACCAGACCCTCAAGAAAGGGACTAGACTGTCCTACTTACGGGGACCCTGCTGTCCCAGGGGGCTGCTGCCATGGTCCTGGGGCTTTGAGGATGGATGTGGCCAGTGACAGAAGGTGACTACAAGCCTACAGGACCCAGCGATGGTAGG